AAACGAATCAACAGAAGCAACGCAGCGTTCCATTGATCAAATTATTAGTTGGACTAAAAAATGGAAAATTGAGCTCAACCAAACGAAATCCGTCCATGTAAACTTCACAAACAAAAAAATTGAATATTTGCCGATAAATATGTGCAGTGCTCAAATACCATACTCAAACACAGCTAAATACCTTGGCATGAACTTAGATGCTAAGTTGAAATGGAAAGAACATATAAAGAAAAAACGAGTTGAATTAGAATCCAAATACAAAAATTTATATTGGCTTCTTGGGAACAAATCACCCGTCTTTCTAAACAATAAATTAATGATATACAAGCAAGTCTTAGCTCCGGTGTGGACGTATGGAATCCAGTTATGGGGATGTGCACCAAAATCCACTATTCAAATCATTCAAAACTTTCAAAACAAAGTTTTAAGAAACTTAGTCAACGCTCCATGGTTTATTAGGAATACTGACCTCCATCGGGACTTGAAGATCGAATCTGTGGCTGCAGTAGTCCAAAAGTTCGCGGTAAAGCACCAAAAACGATCACAACAGCATCGAAACGAGACAGTCAGCCATCTGTCTAATACATCTGGATTGCTGAAGAGACTTAAACGAACAAAGCCCTCAGATCTACTCCAGAATTAGTAGTCTAATAATAATTTATATTACTACTATTAACACTAAGTCTTTGACAACTTCACAATTCTAATAAGTATACTGAAATGTAACAAAACTGCTTGATAGTTCTTGTATGAACTAGTCGTAGTCAAATGAAACATGTATTTATATTATTGTACATATTGTGTTTCAAATAATAAAAAAAAAAAACAGCACAAGGGGGTACTCTCCCCTTTCCTCCGGAACATAATGATGAATGGACTGATAATAAATATTATTTATGCGGATGATATTGTAGTTATAGTTGCCGAAAAATATGCTATGCTACTCTTAGGGATATTCTGCAAAATGGTCTCAATATTCTCAACAAATGGACAAATGGATGGATTTTGCCATAATATTCAATAATCAATTCACATTATGTTTCAAAAACACTTTTTCAGATTTATGCGGTTTAATTGCCTTTACTTTCAAGATTGTTTATATATTATGTATATTACCGTATTTGCTAATTGCTTATTTTTTGTTTTTTATTTTTTACTAATCTTGTGTTTCCGTACACCAAAAACCAGTAAGAAAAACGAAATGAAAGCGGAATGTGAGACAAAATTGCTGATTTTGGCTTGAAGAATTCTTGTCAGAAGAAATTAGAAACTGTGAAGAAGCTTACATGCTTCTTGTATAACAGCTTGAAAACATTGAAATTTGTTGTGACAAGAGTTTTAGATGGGTAGATTTCAATGACAGTAAATCATATTAATAGTAATTACTAATTAATGATAAAACAAATGGAAAACCAAAGTAACAGCAATGGTAATTTTGAACAAGTTTATCGAATACATACATTCATTAAAATAAACTATAAAAATAAAATTTCGCAGGCTTAACTGGAAAATAGTTCAGACAACAACTTAGATCTAAATGAATCCTAACGAAACGCAACCGTTTTTTAATAAATGCGAGCAACATTTCTCGTAAATGCACCGATCCAACAGTGTCTGTTGTCAAAAATGAATGGCTTTTTTATATACGAGGGGGCCACTTTTATTTCTTATAACAAAAATTATTTTAGCTGTGTTCCATTTTTGCAATTTTATATCTTTAGAACATAACTAAACCATTTTGTCTGGTCATGCATTATAGATGCGTCCATTTCAAGATACAAGATAAGTGGTAGCATTTTAGATCAAAAACTTCTATTGAATATTTTTCATTTGCAAAGTTAATCATAATTCTTAAAATTTTCTAAAATAGTTGGGGAAAGCAAACAATATTTTATATTCTTTAATGTATTTCATAAAAATGAAATTTTTTATTTATTTTGGAATTTTTTAGAAGTTTATCTTTATCGAAGTATTCAGCAAATATTTAAGATGACAAGTCTTGATAAAGATAATGGAAATGATAGAAGATAAGCAGGAATATTTGTTCATAAAGTTATTTTCTTAACATACCTGCAAACGTATGATAAGCAGGCATTGTTATCATCTGCAGATGTCGATCCTGACAGTAAAAGAGTTCATCCTATATGCATATCGTATCCTCTTTTATTAAGCTAAGTGCAATCAAGTGTTTTAATTGGAATGAGAGGAAAAGTTTCTTCAGTATCCCCTAAGCATCAAGAAACTTAAATCCATCACATTTATTTAGGATATAAACGCAGTTAACTCTATTCAAATAATAATAATACACATCAACCAATTCATTTTCAAATATATGGAACAGTGATGTTCACGAAGTGCTTAGATTAATATTCTTATTGAACTTATAACTAATCAAGAGCATTTTAAATAGAATTCCATATTGTCATTCCTTAATTATAAAAATTATTATATTTGTGAATATCAATATACCGAATTTTAATTACTTTCTTTTAAATAAAATAGTCAGGCTCTTTTACTACTGAAAAGTGTTCTGTGTATTTGTTGCGAATTGTTGGTGTAATTTATTCAAGATTCTACTTGTAAGCTCTATTTTTCAGCACGAGTATTAATAGAAAATTAAATAACTATAGAAATAGAAAAAAAACTTAAAAAGAGGAATAGCAGGCACTTTTATAATAGTGAAATATTTCCGTCATTACCAATTTCACGTAGATGTAATTGGGAATAAAAATGTCCAATACTTTTGAAAGGAATTGTAATGCATTATTACGTTAATAGATTACATTAGGAAAGTAATCGAAAATAATCAATATCTCATGTGCTAATAAAAGATTTCTACACACAAAAAGCAAAAAGAAACAACAATCAATCCAACAAGTGACTGTAAGTCAGAAAGCCAACTAAATGCAAAGACAAGTTTTGAAATTTATATTTGCTCAAAAGTTCTTTTGCTGCTGCTACTAACTGAAATAATCTTGAAAATTACCTGTAATGAGCAATTATTATCATTCAACTACATCACAAATATAATTATAAATCTAAATTCCACAAATTCATTTATGTGTAATTACTAATCAACTTGATTAATTAATTTCCAATTGTAATCAAATATTAAAACTGCACTTTCCAATACCCGGTAATAGTAATTGCATTTGTAATGTAATTGTTTTTGCACATTGATATATCATTGATATAGAATTATAGTGTATAAACTTTCATCAGTTCTTTTAAATAAATAAAATTAATATGTACATTAAATATTTCATTTAGCATTAATTAAAACTCTAAATAAATTTAAGACTAGTTTATTGTGTTAAAATTTGCAATCGCAAAAAAGAAAAATATGTTATTGAGAATATCTACATTCTCTATTTAATTTATATGAATTACCTGTGATCAGCATTTTCAACACGTCCATCCAAGTTAGATACCCGATAATAATTTTGATTTTTAAAATATAATTGATAGGAATGTTTAACTAGTCGCGTTCTGCAAATAATAATAAATAATAATATTAACAAAAACTTTATTTTGAGATATGGTATACATAAAAGTTAAACGTTTGCGCTACTGCTTATTTTGCACACGATCTTGAGTTTGGTTTAATTTCGTCAATTAGTTTTCATAAGAAACTAATACCGATATTAGAATAACTAATAATAAATGAATATTACTATGTATTTACATTTGCAATATAATATGTAAAAAATTATTAAAATTGGAGTTGTAATAAAAACCATTTTGTTTTGAGAAATATATAAAAAACTTCAGTAAATTTTTAAAAAGAAAATAAAATTTTTGTTGTTGTAGTTCACTACTGTTCGAAAAAACCTCTTTATGAAATATAAGTTTTTATTAAAATATAATAGTCACTTTCGTCTGGAAAATTTGACGTTAAATTACAACTTATATTCACAAAATATTGGTCTCGCCCGTGTGACTAGTGGAGTAACATTAGCAAGACTTTCTCAGCATTACGTTCCTAGATTCCTAGGTTCTATACATAAGAAAGAACAAATCATGCAACAAAATAATGCCTCTACGAACAGAATAGTTTTGAAATATAACAATTAAAAATAAAATATAATTAATTAATTAATTCAATCATTCTACAGCTAGTTTATGATTTCGTTCTAATATTAACATAGCAAGTAAAATCGAAAAAACCTCTATTAGAAAATAAAATAAAAATGTGTTAATTTCATTCGCTCTCATTTTCCGTGTCTGACTTTCTCAGAACGACAAATTAAGATATAACTTTTTATAACATATCTATTTGCTTGAGAATATTTCTTTCAATAGGTATTGCTATAGTCTTATGAAAGGTTTTTTTACAATTAGTAAACCGAAACATAAAGATTAAGTGACGTTTTATTTACTTTTTATCGAAAACAACCATCATAATTTTTTAATAAACATCCTACGAAAAAACCACAAAACCTTCTGCACCCTTTTGAAGAATGAATAAGGAAAGACTATACAAAGACTAAGTGTGATTGTGATTTTATAGATCTTATAGAAACCCAGAACCAATTGAACCGTTTAAAAAAAAACCCGCAAAATCTTCAACGATTTTTAAGAAATAGTCAGCCGGAATTCAGATGTATATTAAAGAAGTAATATAAACGGAAGATAGGTGATCTAACTACAAACCTACATAAACTGTTTTAGCACTATCAAAATTACTAACCCATATTTTAGTAGAGGACACTTTGTCGTTTGGGCGTACGAGTGGTTTCTAAACATAGACCCAGTTGCTCCACTTAAATTGACAGGGTACAACCGAAGTAAATTGTGTTTACCCATCGACAGTGTAGTTCGATGGGTCAAACAGTCAAAATGTACATCAACTAACGGTAGGTGAATTTAAGAACCTGGACGAAATAATATACTATATAGCGCTTAAAATTCATTTTTTGCTCAACATGTATTATGTAGAACAGATTGGCATGAGACTAGGATGTAATGTGTAAAGATGGAAGTTTTACTTTAGTGATGTTTAGTACATGTTGGGCTATACTATGCTCCGACCAGATACCATAAAATTCGCGGAACACGAATATTGCATTAACTGGACTGCAAGACATTAAACTTTTACCTAACTTCACTTTCTTAACCCTTATACGTAAGAATCGGCCAAAGGGTGCTACAGATGAAATTGCTTTCCTGCAATTAAAGAAAGAAGAAAGAAATCCTGGTGGATATATACAGATCAATAGGATATTCTATTGCGGCCCATGCAGCTCCAGTACGGAACTTGCTGCACTGGTACAATAGACAATCTTGTTAAAATACAGTCCTGCGGATTTCAACCTATTGTCTGTCCATGTTGCATGCTTTTAATATTCATACAAAATCAAAAATGCCATTTATATGTCACCAATAACTAGTACTCACGTTAGTGTCGATTACTTGTAACGTATCATGTTTACATGGACACCAATTACAAAGAATCTGTCATCAATAAGGCTAAATACAAACAGTTGCATAGCAACAAAGTTGCAGTAGGCTTTCGTCTGATACCTTCAAGATAAAAATGACAATTGCTCTAAGAGCTGTTTTTTTTCTTTCATGCTGCCTACATTAAAGATATTCTCAGACCGCAACATTAAGCCCTATGTCAATGCACATATAGAATCCTATATATAAAGTGCCATAGAAAAATACATGAAAATATCACTATAACGATGTTTTGCCGTTGTATCTAGAAACTGAAGTTTTGTACCATTAGCTAATGCAGTACGACCTCACAAGAAATGTTGGGGCTATGAGATTGTATGTAGAAGGGTGTCACTTCAGAATCTTTAAAAAGCAATTAGCATTGCAATTGTAAATTAAATTAAATTATACAGTTAATTCCATATCGAGTAACGCTAATGTCAAAAAAACTTTTCCAACATTTTACTTTTTGGCCTTTTTATCTGTGTTTATTTAAAATTAACCCCATCCGATTCAACACATCTCTTAAAATGCTCACAAAATGTGATTTCATAAAACGTAAAAATAGAGAAAAACTATAACCATAACCGGTGATCGCTCAATGCAACACAAACAGTATAAACTTAAGATTATGTGGGATATAAGTACAAGAAACCTTACCTGAAGGAGAGCGCCAACTTGCTTTCCAAAAATCGTATCATCGAATTTATAAATGTAGCAGGTATGGCAATACCAAACCATTTAACCAGTACAATGGCAAATTGTTTTATGTCTTTTCGTACAATAAACTTTACAATTTCTCCCTCTAAAGATGCAACAAAAATACTTAAAAATGTACGCGATATTAAACAAAATGTGTGCACAGTAAGTAAGCCAGTTTCGTAACAAAATAATCTTGGCACCATTATTCGTATAAGTTTTGCCAACTGCTGTGTGAATTCTTTATTGAGGCTTGGTTCTGTGTTATGCTTTCTTTTCGATTTCTTCAGTTCTTTTTCTATTATTAATTTTTCTGCTTCAGCTAATTTAAATTCTTCATCGTTTATATTGTTTATGAGTTCTTTAGTTGTGGACGCATCAGATTTCGAATCGCTCACAAATAATGGATTGGTTAATTTCACCGCGTAAGCACATATTGCCAATCCCACAACTGCTTGACTAAAGGCTATTTTCATAAGAACCGCATTATCATTTTTAGTAATAATGCGGTCCAAAAATTTTGAAAAAACTGCCATTTCGAAACTAAAATATAAAAAAAGATAAAATTTAATTAATAAATACACATATTTTTTTAAATTAGAATATAAATTCAATAAAAACTAATAAGTTTGAATATCGTTATAATAATTATATAATGTATATTCTACAAAAATATAACTAATATTTTTGACAAGAAATAAATATAGACCACGTAGCATTATCACAACGGTATCTTTATCTATAAAGACTTCTCCCGATGAATTTCAAATTTCAATTGTGCGTAAGTTGTTGCCACTTAAAATCTGCTACCAATGCGACAGCAGTAATGCTTTAGAATAAATTCCCAATCTGACAATTACAATAAACTATAAAGTACAAATATGATATAAAGATATGGTTGATTGCTTGACATCTTGATTGTCTTGATCGTTTATAGAGAATATGGCTTCATTTAACTAATGGAAGCCCTCATTGCCTGTCAAAAACACATCGTTAAAATTAAGATGCAATGGAATAGCCAAAGATGATCTAAGGGAAATTACTAGAACCTATTCAGAAGTAGCTTAATCTCTGCTTTTATTCTGTAGTCTTAACGACTAGAATATCAACAATTATTTTCTGTTCGAAAGAAATTAAGCAGAAATAAGATAAAAAGTGAATGACGGATATGACGAAGTAAATTTAGGTAAATTACAATAAAACTTAGACTTTCGACATAGTCAAGAATATTTTATACACCAAAATGACAATTTGATGTACTGATGAAGATTTGCCATTATCAATAGGTGTTACTATGACCTTAATAGCTTTGAACTGCAGATATTTTTCACCAGCCACATAATGTACACTCTGTATGTTACGTCTCTTATATTCGTGAAGGTCAACATATAATGAAGAACCAGTTCTGGAAGTGTTTGAGAAAAAATTCTTCAAAACATCTTTCGTCTATTATAAATCGAATATAATCGAATCGCTAAAAACGAATCATTTTAGCGTAGTAAACTGTTTCATTAACTTGGTCGTGTCGTAGGGATTGAAGAAAATACTACATAGAAAAGTGGCAGTCTAGAAATAATATAGATATAATATAGATAATATAGAATATAGATAATATATAGAGTGGTTTTGTGTTTTCTTTTTCAAATAAATAACCACATTAGTAATTCTATTCAAAGTGCTTTAATTTTGGTTCAAGAAGTGAAAAAAATTGTATGAATGAAAGCTCCATTTTCAAGATTTGTCGACATACTGTGTCCATAAAATCTGACTAAATCTCGCAAATTTTTCTTTCAAATAAACATATAATTTGCTAACTTTACTGTTTTTGTACCTGTTATAAGTATTTAACAGTATATGTATATTTTACATTGAATCAAAATGTTCACAAATTATTATTGGGTACCATATGTAAAATTCATCCACTGGAATTTCAACTACAGTACCTTGTTTTGTATATTTTACATGAATATTTGGCACCTTTTTGTTATGAAAAAAATTTATTTTTGTCTCGCGGCTTTAATGAATATTTTGCCACTTTTGCGAGCTAATTCAATTTTTTTCTCTTACATTTGTTTGTCAATGCAAAGAAACAGGCTGACTTCTTTACAGTATGTCTAACTTCAACTAATATTATTTAAGACGATTTTAAGAAATTTACTATAGGATCAGCCATAACTATGGAAATTAATTTATTACGCTCTTCTTAGAAATTGGGTTTTTTTTTAAATGAACATCCTAATAAGATTGTGTGTTTCTTGTTGGTAATACTTTTACGGTTTTATAAAAGTAATTTTTTTGAAATTAAATTAATTTTTATATTTTTACTCAATTAATATTTTATTACTTTGAAGCAGGACGATACGAGTATAGTTCTGCCCACGATATCGGTTTAGATGGATTTTTGATTTACTTCCGCTTCGAAGCCTGATCTCTTATACCAGGGCTGTCCAAAACACGGCCCACGACATGTTTTTAATCTACTACAATTACGCAAATTTTCTTTTGATGCACTGTTAAAACCACATTATTTTATTTTTATGGTATACCAAATAAATGAGCTTAATTTCATAAATTAATAATACTAAATTCAACATTATAACCGTATTTTTATTTTTGTCGAAAACAACTATGAACGTATGTAGTTGTTTCTGCGACCCTCCAATCAATAGAGTGATCTGTATTGGCCCGCGACCGCATCTGTCTTTCTTTTACAGTACCACTCTAAAATTGTTTTTAAAATTTTATACAAAATGCATCTCTTTCAATGTCCACATTAAATACCAATTTATTTACAGCATTTTTATTAAATGATTTTTCCTGCGAAAATTATTATTTCAAAAGATCCGTTACATTTTAAACAAAAATTTAATCTATTTTCCTGTTCACATGTGTATAATATTACTAACCTTCTAATAGCGCTAATTATATCTTCCAGTTGCGAATAAAATTAATTGCAATTTGATTATAACATCAAAAAGTAATATCCGTATTAACACGCTGTGAGTAAACTCCAAAGAGCAACACAGAACTTATTAATGTTAAATCATGTAATCAGCTCAACTATAAAATAATTTATTTTAAACTCAAATCGACAACTAGATTTCTAATCAGTCGGCGTTGTTATACGTTTTTATTCAGAATGTAAAATTTCTCAAATCTAATTCTAGTCGATAATAACATTAGATTAGATTAAATAATAACCTTAGAAATTGGATAATCCTTATAAAGTTACCTAACATTATTGTGAGCGACAAAGCATATCATATTTTGGATATGAGATTGTAAACAATCCCATATCCAAAATGATATCAAATCACTTGTGCCAATAATCGTTAATTTGAATGGTTAAGTACATATGTTTTATGTTTAAGGATCTCGGGGTTCTTATATTCAAATATTTTTAAATAAATGAAAATATGTTAAAAATGTATGGAATATTTGAATTTGGTCAGTATTTCAATAATTTTGTAATATTATTTGCTAAAACAAAATTTTATCCTATTTAAGAGACGAAATTCTGAATTAAATCAGTTGGTTGTTTTACTATAACTCAATGCGATTAATGATATATATTTTTTTTTTGATTTGTTTATGTTACGTACAATTGGATTTAAATCATATGAAATGCAGTGGATTGCGGGTTAAGCAATGATAAACACTGACCTAACTTATATTTAACGATGTACTTGTAATATGAAACTATTCATAATAGCAACTTCACTTCTTTGTTTATATAGTTCCGTGTGCACCTTGATCTCATAATAGTAATAATAATTTTTAAGTTTATGATTGAATAAAAAGTTAATGATTTAATGTTGAAATAATTTTTAATAAAACAAAAACATATAAAACATATTAACACTGACATGATTCTGTCTAACAATTCAAAAATATTGAGACAAATAGAAATTGGACTTTAATGTCTTATTAGACTAAAATAACTACAATTTGATATCAACTAGAACGACACAAAAATTATAGTTTAGTACACTCGACTGATTTATACTTTATTCTGTTTGAAAATTAGGGTTTGATGTGAATACTTATCTCCATACATACGTACATACATTATATATTTATATATATATATATATATTTGCATACATATATATTTCAAAAATTATTAGTAACATTATTTATATATATTAAATTACCTATATTTTCTTGATACAAATTAAATGAAATATAATTTTAAAAATTGATTTGTTTTTAATAGGATACGACTTCCTTGGTTCCGTAATTAGCAAGACATTTTAAAGTGACTTTTAAACAATAATGTTTTAATAAAGTTATCATTCATAGAGATAAAATTTTATAAACACAAAATAAAGCTTTGAATAACACAGCACGGGTCATGTCACACCAATTAAGAAATACTTTGAACTCACTTGGTTTAAACAAAAACCTGTCGCAACTTGCGAAATAAATTTAACAGATATTGTTTTTTTCCATTTCTTATTTACAAACGCAAATACCATTTATCATCTGTTTTAATGGTTGACAAAACAAACTAGTTTACATATACCAGCGTACCGCACATTCATGCTTGAACCCAAAAATATTAAAATTATAAAGAAAACTGTTTTAGTGTCAGGCTTAGTACTAATATCCATCTCGCATTAAAAATTGAATATATTTCAATATAATATAATATAATAATATATAAAATTAATATAATATAATAAAACATAATTAATATAATTGCTAAAACTTTTTAATTAGCAAAATAATTAAAATAAATTCATTAAAATACATGCTGAAAAAAGAACAATTAGGTAAAAAACTTGAATAATCTGTAATGTCTCATTAGCCTCTATCTGTAAATGATTAAATTTGCACACAAAATCAAAAACGAAAAAGTTGCGTTCTAAATGAGGGAAATACTAAGTTGTGCCGATAATGTAGTGATGTGTCGATACGTGTAGATAAATGGCTAAATGTGTGCAGTGCAAGAAATCCCAAAAATTCTCCCATTTGGTTTAGCGTCAACTTAGCCTAACTCGCACACGTCCTAAGTTGTGTTCTAAATGAGGGAAATTCTAAGTTGTGCCGATAATATAGTGATGTATCGATACGTGTTGATAAATGGCTAAATGTGTGCAGTGCAAAAAATCCCCTAGTAACTATTAAACTACAGATACCATTTTTTAGCAGTATTTCAAATATTTCATTTTAGAAATGAAGCAATTTTATATCAAATATAGAATAAAATCATTAAAATGAAATTAATAAAATAATTAATCGCCTACTTAGGAGTGTGCGATTTAGGCTAAGTTGTGTTCTAAATGAGGGAGACTCTAAGTTGTGCCGATAATGTAGTGATGTGTCGATACGTGTTGATAAATGGCTAAATGTGTGCAGTGCAAAAACTCCCAAATAAATTTTCCATTTGGTTTAGCATCAATTTAGCCTAACTCTCACACGTCCTTAAAAACATGTTTTGAAAGGCGCATAACTATAGAAAACGTTTATATGTATGTAGGTAAAGTAGTGTGATAGGGGAGATAAGGCAGTGCAATAAAAGTAAAGAAAGCAAGATAAGAAGAAGAGAAAAAGTAAAATATAGGAGTTTTTGAGAAGTTTGATAAGTTTGCAAAGTTAAAGTTAAACATAAATTCATAAAGACTAAATTTTATTTCTTGACTAAAGTAATTTTTAATTTAATAAAAGTTTGAAGTTTAATAAAAATATTAAGAAACGTTGTGTTTTTTTTTTGTTTAAATAACTACATGTACCTATAGACGTTTAATTTTTATTCACAAAATAACTATTTTATTAGAAATGTGAAAAATCATATTTAATTAAAAAATAACTTTTTAATAATTTTTACAGTATTATTATAAAAACAAGATGCAATTTTTTCTAAGAAAAAGTAACAAATTATGTATATTATAATTTAAAAACTTAAATTATTAGAAAAATTATTTAAAAACTTTCATGCAATTTTGTATTCGTTACAAATTTTTTTAGCTCATTTAAGTGGTACTGCAAAAATAAATTACAGTTGCAGTTATACTAAACAGTTCGTAAGAAAAGTCTATTTTTATTAAACATGCTGGTTTTAATATATTATTGTATTATAATTTAAATATCTTAATTAAAAAGACGAAATAATATGAACCATTTTCGTACAATAATGGAAAATAAAATTTAATTTAAAAACGTGAGACTTTTAAACTGTTAATAACTTTTGCAGAAAAGCTTACATTTGTTTGTACTATACCTCATTCTAAAGCGAATACATAAACCTTAATTCGATATTTGTATATAAACATTGACTTCCTTAGGAGCAATCCTGTGTCGAATATCAGAAATAAATTTTTTGTTATAAAAACTGTTAGAAACTTACTGAAATAACTACAGTAGGTATAACAGTTAGAACAAAATAAAGAAATATTATTTTTTTAAAATGTTTAATAAATACATTACTCAAATAAAAAAGCTAACATAATTAAAAAAATAATAACTTAAAAGCTAATACAATAAATAGAATTTTATTCCAATAATATTTCTGTCTTGTATTATGATTTTATGTTTAAAGTTTCTGCTAATCTTTATTAGTACAATATAAACAATATTAAATATATACAGAGTATTAAATATAGACAGAGCAAGTTCGCATAATCGAAATGTTCACTAAATCGTAATTTTTTTTTAACCTCTTTCCCTAATTTTATTAATAAAATATACTTTTCATGAATAAAATCTTTAATATGTAACTACAAAAGTAATAACATAAAAATATAACAGTAGTTCCTATTAAATTTTTAAAAGTACATTTTTCATTTCTCTGTTTATTTTGACTGTTATTAACAGCGCTTTTGATAAGCGTAGACTCAGAGCACGAGAGTTTTGCTAGCGTAAACACAATTGAGGAGGAAGCTCTTTTTCGTTCTCCGGGGGAAGCCGCTAAGGCCGTTCGTTGGTCAAGGGCTGAACTAAATAAAGAGGGGTTAAGAGCCAAATCCAGATACAAAGCTACGATAAAACTTTGCGCTATCCTCGGATACCTGAATGATCTGTCGAAGGAAGATAAGGACAGGCTAGTCTGAGCAAAAGAGGAGGTAGAGGAAGGTCGAGCCTTTTACGCGGATAAAAGGTGGTGTTAAAAGGTGGAAGGAATCGTCCACATCTAAATTAACAATGGCGGAGATAGTGACTAAGCGACGCTTGATTGTGGCACTTATCGACCGCAATGATATACATGGACAAATGATAGAGACTAGGTGGAAAATAGTAGAAATGAAGCTTTTAGATGCTATGTTCGCAAAATGAGCGCAGAACCAGACGCTCCAATGCTATCATTTGGCTGTGCCGGCTGATTCAACGGTGTAAAGCTATTGAAATGTAAAGATGACTCGACGCTGAACTGGTTAAGGGAGGCAGTTAAAACGCTCAAAGGCCTATGGGTTCGCGCATTTTTGGAAGTAGTGTGCAGGAAAAACATCCCGTCTTTACCCAAAGCGAAAGTTCTCATACCTTGAGTGGTAAAACCAGAGGATACCCAACCTAGTAAAATTGCCTCACCTGAGTTGACCAGCTTACCAGAGCTCTAACAACAGCTTACCACATCTCGTGCCCGCCATCTTAACCACCATGGTGGAATAAGGAATTGGGATCAAAAAGACGCTATGTTCGCGAAATCTTCAAGCTGGCTCAGCTGGCGGAATGTGAAGTTATCTGGGAGGAGTACAGAGATATACATAAGCAATACAAGAAAGCCATTCGTAATGCGAAAAGAAGAAAGAAACATCCTTCCAGGAGGGATTTTTGCGCCGGTATAGAAAAGACGGTTGAGGTAGCTAGGCTTAGAAAACTACTATCCAAGCACCTAACTATGCCTTATCTTGTCAGGAAGGAAAATGGCGAATGGACTAAAACCAATACCGAATCGCATGTAGATCTTACTAACACTCACTTTCCTGGCTGTGCAATCGTGAGCAATACCCAACCAGTCACCTCTACTCAAAAGAGGTGACCTCTTTTATTCTCAAAATTTTTGAAAAAATACTGGCAGCACATATAGGGGATCAATTAGATTCCGAAGTTCTGAAAAGGCCTTAGAATACAAAGAATACGATCTAGGAGTTTTTCTGGACATTGCGGGTGCTTTCAATAATGTATCAACGCAAGCTATTTTAAATAGCTTAGATGATGTTGGTATCGACTCGGCCACATATCAACGGATTGCAAGCCTTTTAAGCAGACAGATAAGACCAGAATGGAACGACACAACTCTTACTAGGGAAACATGTAGAGAAACCCCGCAGGGAGGTGTTCTCTCACCCCTTCTCTGGTAATTAATAAAATTCTTAAACAATATGATGGTAAAGCTGCGATACTAATTGTATATGCAGACGACATTACCGTCCAACTGCAACCGCAGACTTTGTATGTACTGGATTCCTGGTCATGAAGGTATAGAAGGAAATAAAACAGTTGATGTTATTGCTAAAAATGGCGCAATACTTTCTAAGGAACAAACGAGCGAGGTACTCAGATCTCTGAAACAAATACATAAACTTCTGGACGAGCGCATGACAAGGAGAGCAAAGGTAAGGTGACGGAACTTAACCACCTGTATAATAGCTAGAGTCATGTGTAGACACATATACGAAGAAAAGTACACCAAGGATGTTATATCGTCTAATCGAAGGAACTGTAGAACATTAATTGGTGTGTTGACAGGTCACTGTCTGGTCGCATCACATGTCCGAAAACTAAACCGTGAGTTAGCGATGCTTGTAGGAAATGCAACGAGCCGGATGCAAAGGAAACTCTGGAACATCTACTATGTAATTGCCCGGCTCTCTCGAGAACTCGACAAAAATACTTAGGGGTTGTTAGTTTTACAGGACTGGAGCACATACCTGAGGTTTCTGTTGGAATCCTAATAATATTTACTAATGAAACACGCATCCTAAGTGATGCACACAATCGCTACAATAAGACTCTGATCAGGTATCGCAATGGACCTTAATGGTCTACGCGTGGACTTTTTGGTCTACCAGCATAATCTAATCTAACAGAAACTGTAAAAAAAGAAGCTTTGAAACTCTATCCTAAAAAGCAAGGAACTGCTGTACAATGCTTTACTTGATGAACTATCAGATAACCCCTTAACCCCTTAATTAAAACCACTAAAAAAATTAAAACATTTGGCATTGATGGTATTACAAACGCTACGAACTATTTGCGGAAGTATTCTTTTCGTGTGTAATATGGATATTTGGATATTTTTAATAATTGGGAGAGTAGAATTACAAGTGCTTGTCTGTAAGAAAAGAAAACCTATGCATGAACCGTTATCTAATTGTCCACTGTGCATGCTCGGCATTACGGAAAAATATCTTGCGAAACCCGTTGTTGCCAGACTGGAAAAGTACACTGAAGGACCAAATGACTATTTAGCTTCATGATAGGTCGGAACGCAATAGATGTTATTGTAAAAGCTTATAACATTCCTCAACATGCGCTGGATTGA